ATGGTATATCCATTCACTACTTAACCAATCCATTATTGGTAACACCGGTGCTCATTGTATAGCCGGCTGACCCGATGGCACCGATCAGATTGATCTGACACGTGGTAGTGCAGGCGCCCGTCAGTGTCCATAAGCTGTAACCACAGGTGGCACTAATCATACCACTCGTGTCGGCGCAACCGTTTGGCTGATCCGCTGAATATATCGATTGACCCACAAATACAGACCCATCGCACGGACCGCCACTCACTATACCCGTCCTCTCCGAAAGTCTATCGCCTATTGTTTTAAATTGAAATTCAAAAACAAATTTCAATAATCTTATCATTTATTTAGTAATTAAAAGTTATTAAATTTATATATTTTTAAAAAACAAGGTTATATTTGATGAATATATTACATACCGTTAATATAGAATAGGGTGGAAACGGGAGATCCTATAGTGATAGTAGTGGCGGCACCGGTCGGGTCGTACGCTGTAATCGGTATGTTAGCTGTGGAGGCGATCACACCATTACAGGTGACTTGACCGGTGCCGGTGCTGTTGGACACCAATGAGATAATATTGAGAAAACTGTTGGCACTACTGCTGCAAACATACACCGAGTTAGAGGTGACGGTCGTACTGACAATCGGCGATACAGCTGTCGGGATCATAAAGTTTGAGCACAATTACAACAAATCAACATTTATGACAATTACTGANTGAGAAAACTGTTGGCACTACTGCTGCAAACATACACCGAGTTAGAGGTGACGGTCGTACTGACAATCGGCGATACAGCTGTCGGGATCATAAAGTTTGAGCACAATTACAACAAATCAACATTTATGACAATTACTGACCCACGTTTGTGAATGCAAACGTGCCAGATATGGGCGCACGCTTTGAGATCGAGTGCAATCCCGCTGTAAAACCAAATTGATTGCAATTTATAAATGTATTTTAAAATTATATTAATTTAATTATGTGGAATCTTAACAATTCACTTTAATTGATAATTTTTAATAATGTAAAATAATTTGTTCAATAATTTTAGCGTAATTAAATCTTAATTACCTGAATTGGCGCCCAAAGCGACCCACATTAATAAGAATAGGGTTGGAAGTATTGATTGTCTCTTCATTATTAAATAAACATTTGATTACAAACACTTAAAAAAACTATAATAATAAATATATTTATTTGGCATGTTTTTATACCTTAATGATTTGATGCAGTGCAATTGTTTCTAATGGTATACATGTAAATGCAATTAATCCAAATTGCACATTATCATTGTCACTGAATTATACTGGAACAACTAATTTATGGTTTCAACATCAAGTTGCAAATACTCAACAAATACTGTAAAGATCTCACAAAAGTAATTATTGTAACCATAAAACTAATCTCAAAATTATCATAAATTGTCTTTAAATATATTAAAAAAAACTGCTGAATAACAGTCACAATACAAACCACTAAACACCAGAATATACTGTACTTACAATTGTTGTGACAATCAGTTTACGGCTTAGTTATTGAAACGCCCGGCCATTGCGTAAACATCACTCAATTATATATAATGTAATCAAAAAGTTATTTACAATTCATTTATTATTTTTTCTAAAATTCAATACAATTGAAAACCAAAACACAATTTCAAACTACTATACGCTTAAAGCTAATCGACGGACAAATATTACAGATTAAGTATAAAAACATTTGTTAATAATTTAAAAAATAATACTTTTCATTAATTTTTACGATGAATTTGGCGACGAATTGAAAACACTTCGGGTTTTGTTTTCGACGGGAGAGAAGAGCCGGGAGTCGTCGGCCGCTGAGCCACCGCTCGGAGCGATGTAATGAACAGTCGATATATCCATCAATTGAAACGAGTAGTCGTATAGCGATGGCCGCGATCTATACACCGGACTCTCGTCGTCGTCGCCACCGTTCGCACCATTACTTCCATTCTCCTCGTGAGCGGCCTTAGAGTCAATGATCTCCGGTATGAGTCCTAACGACTCGCGGCGTTTCGGTTCAAACCGTAACTTCAGTCGCGAAAAGTCGGGAATCCGTTCGGCGAACCACTTCCG